GGCCAAGCCAATGAGAGACCCAGGATTTCCCACAAAGAAGCTTCCTGATTGACTTCCAGCCTATTACTTTACAAAGTAGTTGCCGTTGTGCAGAAAATGAGAAGCAAGGCTGTTGTATCGTGAGCATCTGGAAGAAGTGCAAATTGCAAAATCTAAAAAATGAATAAATCACTTAACAATACCACTTATATTTCAAGTCTGAATTTGTCACCTGATGCATAGCAACTCCAAATAGCATCCGCTTGATTTAGCTTCATTGTGATTCTACCATATTAGACGCATTAGATGAAACTGTAAAAAAAACCTTTGATTATTGCAACATTTATTCTGGAAAAAGAAATCCTGTGGAAAAGAACAGTCGATTCTGCTTGCAAGAGAGAGGGAGGAGTCACAAGGTTCTTTTTTTAAAAAAAAAACATGCTTGGCAAATCTCTCAGAAGCTTTACAAAAGTGTAATAAAAATTACAATCATAAAATCCCCGTCTTCATTTTTTCCATGCCTAGTCATGGTAGGAAGAGAGATTGTAGAGGAATCCTCCTATTATTTTTTTTAACCCACTTTCTCAAATCAGTTTTCTTGCATTTGGACTGGAAAAAGAAGTCTCGAAACAGGGGGAAAAAAATCCAAGCAAACCAATTAAGGCTCACCAGACAGATCTTTGGCCCAGGAATCACCAGCTCCTCGTCATTGCTTCAGAATGTCCTAATAGGGCAGGTGCCTATAAAATTGGCAGTCTTGGGAGATTTTAACTCCCAGAATTCCTCAGCCAGCCAATTCTGGGAGTTGAAGTCCTCAAGACTTATAGTTGCCAAGTTTGGAAACCCCTGAAATAGGGAAACAAAATCTCTAATTCGTGATCAAAAAACATCCTAGAAAAACCATTGAGATGAACGGTAAACCCTCCACAAATTCCCAAAGGAACTTTTCCCTAAAGTTCCTAAGATAGAACTTATTGATAGTTGGCAAATCTCTCAGAAAATTGGGTGCAAATCTCTCAGAAAATTGGGTGAAAATTGGGTGCATTTCAAGGCACTTACAACAACCGGGGATAATAACCCCTCATCTGTGTTGTTCTGTTGGAAGAAATGTCCTGAAATGGGTTCAGCTCCAAGTGGGGAAAAAAACACTGGAAACATGGATGCTGCATGGAAAGATAATGGTGGACAGGATCACATGGCTTGAACTGAACAGAAAAGGGGGAACCACATGCTTCCAGATGTTGGGTGAACAAGAAAAAAGAGCGAGACGCTGAAAGTTCCTGGCTTTATACTCTCTGTTCGGCCCCACCTCTCTATTTCCTGTTCCTGTGTAAGAAATGTATTCTGATTGGTTGTCAGATTCCCATGGGGCCGTGCAGGGGCNGGTCATGTGGCCATTGGGGCACTGCAAACTGGCATAAATTCAACCTCGTTGTTGAGGATGTTGATGGACAGAACTTTTGTGAATAGCCCCTTATAGGCCTGTCATAATTTTGGAACAGTTTCCAAGTGGTCATAAGTTGATGACTACCTGTACCATCAGCCCAATAATATTGCTGACATAGAGTTTTCCAATCTTATTCCATTAAAATTAGGCCTTCTGGGCCCATGTATCTATTTTAATAACTTATTTTCTTTTAATTTTTGTGTGTTTTATTTGATTTGAAGCTCAACTTTCTTTCAATGGGATAACGAAGACTTCCTTATAGTTTAGTCTTAGGATACCCTTTTGAGGTATGATAGATTGAAATTTGTTGATTGTCCAAGGTAAGTTGTTGAGTTTGGATTGGAACTCAGCCAAATTCCAGCCAACCCCCTGCCCTCCCCCTCCCCCCCAAAAAACAAGGACAAAAATTAGCTTAGTCTTCAGATTCTGCAAACACATAAGATTTCAGTCTGGACAATGCACTGGGCAATAGAAGGCAGTAGAATATGAGATGGAATTGTCTTTTCTTTTGCTTTTTAGACTACCATAATAACTTCTGCTTATACAATATACACACACATACACAGTATGTACACAGTTTTCTTTTGACTCATTGATTGAACACAGTCATGTGACATGTGAAGCTCAGATTATTTAAAAACTAATCTCCATTAAACACTGATATAGAAGGCATTTATTTATACATTTGATTTTTATCGCACCTTTATAAATATCTCAAGGCGGCAAACATCTACAATATTCCTTATTCTTCCTCTTTTTCCCTACCACAACAACCCAATGAGGTGGGTTGGGCTGAGAGAGAGAATGACTGGTCCAAACTCACCCAGTCAGCTAAGGTGGAACTAGAACTCACAATCTCCTAGTTTCCAATACTTTCTTTAAACACAGCCTTGCACACATCTTTCAAACTTGCTGGACTAAAATAGAAGATAGCTAAAATAAAATTAAAAAAACAGCTACACGAGAAATGAAGTTTAGAAGGAATGAAGTTCACGAAAAGAGGAACTTGGATCTCTTTGTTGACACTGATATTGTTGGATTTTCTCAAACACACAAACATACACAAAATCTCTCATTTTTCTTTGGCCAGATGTAATTCCCTATGCCTTCACTAGATGGATCTCCAAAACCATCTGATAGATGTTCTGTGCTCAACTGACAAAGTAGCAGGATCTTGAAGAATCAAAAATCAGAGAAAAGATTGAAGGAAACAACATCAACAATTTCCAAAATGCTGATACGTCGCCTTTCAAAAACCAAAGAAGTCTGGAGAAATCTGATCAAAAGGATTAAAGAAGGAAGCGAAAAAATTTGGCCTCTTCCTGAACATACAAAACAACAAACTCATGACCTTTGTAAGGAACAAAAATGTCAAAATAACAATTGTGAAGAGATTGAATCGTACAAGAATTCACTTAACTAGGATGACAGATTGATGAAAGCAGTCAATATAGTCCAGAAATAAAGCATCGAATTGCATGGGCATACATCGAGTATGGAAAAGCGAAATCATCAACCTGGCAATTAAATGCAGATTAAACTTCTGGACCATGAAAAAAACTAGACAGAAAGAAAATTGACTTGTTTAACCTGTGGTGCTGGAGAAGGCTCCTGCACATTCCTCGGATAGCAAAACTAACAAACAATCGATCCTGGAGTGTATAAAACCAGTGATATGGAGGGCAAGGTTACAACATTCTCCATTCTACAACTTACTTATTTCCTCCATGTCATGCAATCAAACTTGTTGGAAAATAATTTGCTCGGAATAAGTTAAAAGTTCCCCTCGCACATATGTGCTAGTTGTTCCCGACTCTAGGGGGGGGCGTACTCATTTCTCTTTCAAAGCCAAAGAGCATGTGCTGTCTGAAGATTTCTCCATGGTCATGTAGCCGGCATGACTAAATGCCAAAGGCGCACAGGATGCTGTTTCCTTCCCACCAAAGGTGGTTCCTATTTTTCTATTTGCATTTTTACATGCTTTCGAACTGCTAGGCTGGCAGAAGCTGGGACAAGTAACAGGAGCTCACTCCATTACATGAAACTAGAGATTTGAACTACCAACCTTTCTGATTGACAAGCTCGGCATCTTAGCCACTGAGCCACCACATCGTTGCTCAGTGCTAAGAATGGCTCAATGGTCAGTGGTAAAAGGAAATGAGGTCACCAGAAAAACATAGTAGCTATTCAACATCAAAACCAGCACCAGCCAGAGCATTAAAACAACAGAAAGAAGCCATATAAGATTGGAATAGGAGGAGATAACTGGTAAGTAGAATTGTTGATAATTGGACATGATTGAATGGCTAGCCTCCTCCTCCTCTTCAGATAGAAGAAATAGGAATGGCAATTTATGCAACTCCATTAATACCCAGAGTTTCTCCATAGCTCTGTGGAACTTAAAATATAGCCATTTAACATCATCAATGTATTGAAAATGGAGTTACAAAAGGAGTTGTTTTCTAATGTCATTTTTGCTTTATTATTTTGGTTCTTATTTTTTGCTCCATTTTTAGAATTCCATGATGTCAGCCAATAAGTAAAGTCATACAAATGGGGGAGTGGCTATTGTTATCCGAGGGTCTCTGGCTCCTCATAGGACCCCTGCTCCGGAGCTTGTCGGGTGTGAGTCCTTACTGGTGAAGTTGGACCTTGGGGGTCAAGTGGGCTTGTTGTTAACGTACCTGCCTCCCAANAGCCTTGGGGTACTCCACTGCATACTTCCCTTTATGACTTATGATTATGACTTGTATTATTTTACACACATTTCCTTTGTGAAACTAACCATTCCATATTATTTTTCCTGTAATATCCACAACAGAAATAATTTGAGTTGATTTGCTATTCCTCAAAGGTCATACATACATTAATTCTTGTGTAGAGGCTGCACATAAATTATTGCATGATAAAATCACCAATAGTGGTTTATTGATAATACCCACACATTCTTTAGTATATATACCTAACAACATGGGTCTCAAGTTTATATTATTCCCATGAAGATATGCAACTCTACCAGCTTTTACTTTTCCATTATGTTATTAATTTGACTTCTTATTTTCCTGGAACCAGACCGATACCATTCACTTAAGGAAAAAAACTCTGTGAAATATTTGTATACCAACTATTTCATAATGGAAATATCTCTGCTTATTTTCTGAGAATAAAAACTGGCCAGGTTGTTTTTTAAGTGCCAATTTAAAGCTATTTCTGACAAGCACACCAAGGCTATATTTTCCATTCTAGAAATTACTTATTACCACAGTTTTTAAACTTGTTATTACGTTCATGCAACTTCGACCAATTTTACAAACTTGAAATTTTTATAGCTGTTTGAGGAAAATGATTTCCAAATATCAATCCACTATGAATCAAATGGGAAGAAATCAGGTAATAGTTTCAATGTGTTCAATATAATTGCAAAGCAATTCGTTCCCTGACTGATTGTATTCATTTTATAATACAACCATCATGTTCCATAGCCCACTAAATTATCCCATTCACCCCCACCCCCCATTTAAAAATCTTCAGCAAAAAGAACAGCACTGCTTAAAGAGGGCTGTTCTGCTCTTACCGACAGCAACTTCTTCCTAATTATTCAGCAGTCAATCTTTCTTTTAATTTCAGCTAGTTCTCCTCCTTTCTTCGGTCTCAATAGAGAAGACCCTCACTCAAGCCACTCTGTGTGCTTTTAGCCTTTTAGATCTTTGTAGATCCGTCTCCCCTGAGCCTTTTTTTCTGCAACAGAAACATACTCAGCTCCTTGGCCCATTCCTCACACATTCTGGCTTCCAGCCTCCTTAACACTCTGGGAGCTCTGAAAATGGTTCCTTTCATTTGGGCAATGCCCAAGCAATATGCACCGAGCAGAGCATAATGAAACAATTACCTCCACTGATCTGGATGCAATTCTTCTGCCAATGCCCTGTAATAGTGCACTGGCTTTCTGAGTCACACTGCATCACTCTTTTGTAACGTTTACCCTATGATCCACTAAGACTCTTAGATCCTTTCACAAGCCCTGCCTCCAAAACAAGTTTAGTCAACTAATCATTTGGAAGGCTAATCATTTCAGGTGTTTTTTCCCATTTAAACAGGGCTAAGGCATCTTCCTTCCAGTTTACACAGAAATGCAACTCGGTGTAACTGGCACAAATGCAAGCAGGACCTTTACTGCCTCCGCCTGCAATCTGTCTCCCTCTTTCAGACACATCACGAGAAGACTGGCAGCTCCCTGGGAAAAGGCTCTGATGCTGGGAAAGGTGGGAGCAAACAGAAAAGAATGGCCTTCAGGAGGGTCCAGTTGCAGCAGCAATGGATGCACCACTTTTATTTATTATTTAGTTAGTTAATTAGTTAGTCACTCATGTACAAGATAACAGGAATAAGAATAAACATTGAACACAGTGTTTAGGGGACAAATAAATGGGGACAGGAGGACAAGGATGTTAGGCATGCTGGTGCACTTATGCACGTCCCCCTTTACGGATCTCTTAGGAATGGGGTGAGGTCCACGGTAGACAGTTTAAGGTTGAAGCTGTGGGGGGTTTGAGGATGTAACTCAGGTAGAGCATTCCAGGCATTGACCTGGAAGTTGTATTTTCTGCAATCGGGTTTGGTGCGGTTTAACTTGAGTTTGTATTAGGAGACCTGAAGGACCCAGCAGGTTAATGGTAAATCTCTCTGGTCAAAATCGATCTATCTGGTTGGTTGTCCCGAAGAGGCTGTAGAGATTCTCCAATAGACTTTTATCTATGTGGTTTCTCAAAGTCAACACACATTAATTGAGATGGTATACCATTCATTGATCAACGTGGACTGGTATACTCCAAGATGATGGGAAAAGACGCGGGTATTAAGCCCAAGTAGGGGCTCAAAGGACACTCCAGAGTTGAAGAGGCAAACACAAACATGCCTGCCTGCATGCATACACAACACACAACACAGAGGGCTTTTAAGAGTGCAGCTCTCCTTTGCTAAGTTTCCCAGCCTCCTCTCGCCCCCCCCCCCCCCCCCCCCCCCCATTCCCTCGGCCCACCCGTTCCCCCTCCCCTCTTCTTTGGGCTTACCAGATCTGGACCGCCTGCCGCCCCGTGAGCCCAGCAGCCATCCGCCTCCGAGACCCCCGGGACCCTCTGCCAGGCGGGGGCAAACGCCGGGCAGATCAGCTGCTCACCTGGGGGGGGGAGGACGGGTGGCTCGGCGCCTTCCCTCCCGAGGAGGAGGAGGAGCAGAGGCGGCGTGGCAAGGAAGAGTGGAAGCCGCCTCCCCTTCGCCGCCGGCTCCAGCAGCTCCTCCGAAGGCAGCCCGGCTCTACTGTTGGGCCAAGTGACCCGCGAGGGTTGTTTCGTCCTCCCGCCAGTAAGGGGCCCTTCGGGAACTTTCATTTTTCCTTTGTCTCTTCCCCCCCCCCCCCCC